TTGACAGAGTACCGCATCAGAGGCTTCTGAGAAAAATTAAGGGTCATGGTATCGAGGGGAAAGTTTTAAATTGGATAAAATCATGGCTCACCGATAGAATGCAGAGGGTCAGCATAGATGGTGTTAAATCTGAGTGGGGCCGTGTAACCAGTGGGGTTCCCCAGGGGTCAGTACTAGGCCCACTCTTGTTCATAATCTACATAAATGATCTAGATACTGGGATCAGCAGTGACATAAGCGAGTTTGCGGATGTCACCAAAATAGGGCGGCAGATTAATTCAGGGCAGGATGCAAATGCATTAAAGGAGGATCTAAATAAACTTCTGGTGTGGTCTGAAAAATGTCAAATGAAATTCAACACCAGCAAGTGCAGCGTAGTTAATATTGGAAGAACAAATACTGACAATGTATACAGCTTTAACAACATCAACCTAGAGAAGTCGTTTTGTGAAAGAGACCTCGGGGTACTTGTAAGCCCGGACCTACGGCCTAGAAAACAGTGTGTTAATGTTCGAAATAAGGCAAACAGAGTATTGGGTTTTATATCTAGAAGTGTAAGTAATAAGAGTGCAGAGGTCTTATTGCAACTATGTCTTGCGCTAGTCAGGCCGCACCTCGATTATGCGGTTCAGTTCTGGTGCACTTATTATAGAATGGATATCAATTCACTGGAGTCGGTGCAGCGGAGAATGACGAAAATGATTCCGGGACTTAGAAACTTTCCATATCAGGATAGGTTAAAGAAACTTAATTTGCATTTCCTAGAAAGACGAAGAGTGCGGGGAGATATGATAGAAGTATTTAAGTGGGTGAAAGAAATCAATAAAGGGGATATAGATAAAGTTTTTATAATATCCGAGCAGGATAGGACTCGGAGTAACGGATTTAAGTTGGATAAGTTTAGGTTCAGGAGGGAGATAGGAAGGAACTGGTTCACAAATAGGGTTGTGGACGAGTGGAACAAGCTTAGCAACTTTGTAGTAAGTGCTGGAAGGCTGGAAAGTTTCAAAAGGAGGCTAGATAGATTCATGGATGATAGAGAGTTGTAGTAACTCTCGACAGGAGCTGCCATGCACAGGCCAACTGGCCTATTGTAGACTCCTTATTTTCTTATGTTCTTATGGTCCCTTTTCCCTGTGTGATTTTATCAATATATATATATATATATATATATATATATATATAATTTGTTTTTTCCTCGCTCTTCCCTGAAGAAACTAACGTCACTTTACGATGCCAAGATGGTGATAAACAGTAAGATGTTAAAGGTTATTATACGGCTCCAGATTACTACACCATAACCTGCAGTTAGTTGAAAACCTTGCCTTCCCATTATCGTTTTGCATTGAATTTAAATCTCACTTTGGATTTGATTCCATTGTACCAAGTTTCTATTTTGACTCAGTGAACTCAATATTATCTATGTATATATATATATATATATATATATATATATATATATATATATATATATATATATATATATATATATATATATATATATATATATATATATATATATATATATATATATATAACAAAGAAGTATGTGTGTTTGTGTGTCCGCACGAGAATCTCGGAACCTACTTTACCGATCTGTAGTGATGATGGATGATGTTATATGTAGTGATGATGGATGATGTTATATGTAGTGATGATGGGTGGTATTATATGTAGTGATGATCTATCTATCTATATAAAACAAAGAAGCATGTCTGTTTGTGCGTGTGTGTGTGTGTGCGTGTGTCCGCACGAGAATCTCAGAAACTACTTTACTTATCTGTAGTGATGATGGATGGTGTTATATGTAGTGATGATGGATGGTGTTATATGTAGTGATGATAGATGATGTTATATATAGAATATGAAGAGTATCCCTCTGTTGTCATTGGCAACATGGATAAGAAATGTGAATACTCTGGTGCAAAGAAATACAAAGGAGAATCTGCTGGACTGTGCTGCTCTCATGGGAAAGTACGACTGCCAAATTTGGAAAAACCACCACAACCATTGAAGACTCATGCTGGGAACAACACCAGAATCAAAACACTTCTTGGAAAATATACAGAAGTACAATTCATGCTTCCAGAAGACATCCTTTGGAGCTACCAGAGTAGTTCGTGAACAAGGATACATGCCCGCATTCAAAGTCCAGGGTCAAGTCTATCACAAAGCAGGATCCATCTTACCACTGGAAGATGAGCAGGCAAAGTTCCTCCAAATCAACTTCATGGGAGATCATGAAAAGCAGACTACTATCAGGTGTGGCAACATTCAAGGTGTCAGACATGACATTGTCCTATCTATCCAAGAAATGCTGCATGAGCGCAACACGTATGTACAGTCATTTAAAAATGCCCTGGAAAACATGCCTTCTGACGAGTACAAAGTCAGGATCAAAGCAGTCACCTTAATGCACTACAGTGAGACACTGTGGAGCCTCCCAGAGGGTGGGGTCCTACCGTGGCCTAGTGAAAGAGCCGCCCGGAGGGCTGCGATTCTGCTAGTGTTAGATAATTAAAATTTATTTCTTATCTGAAAGAGTCGCATTTCACTAATATGGAAGATAAACTGCTATTTTATTATGTTTTTCACGGGATTTGTTATACACAGTTTAACTATTCCCACTATTGTGTAATATTGGCAGTAATTTTTTTATTTTGCTCCTAGAGATCAATATCTTTTCAATTTACTATTGTACATAATATACTATTCTATAAGGCACTTAAGACTACAACCCTAGTAAATGCTGAGCCCCATGTTGCAGTTGCTTCAGTTTAAGGTTTTCACACAAGTATGTAACATGGATAGGTTTATGTAAAGTTTTTTTTTTTCTCTGCGAGAAGCAAATTTCTCGTAGAGGCTTGGAAGGTGGTGACCGAGCGATGTATTAGCCCCTGTCTCATGACAATAACAATTATATAAATTTGGGTTAATACATTTAGTTTATATAATCCAATCACCCCACTGTAATTTTCCATAAGCTGTGAGTTGCCATGAACTGTTCATGTGAGGGGAAATTCCTCTGTTAGTACGCCGACCATGAGAATGTAGGGTTAGTCCGGCCTCTCCTTCAGAGTCCCTCCTCACAGGCACCAGTCCTCACTTGTAGCTCACGAGAATCGGACGGGTGACCTAACTTAGTCAAGCTGAGCCCCGTCCTTAACTAACACTCACAGTTTACAGTGTTAATTACAGTGCATCTACTAATATAGTTTTACCAATAAATGGAGAAAAGACCATTTTGGGTTTGTAACTTAACCCCTCAGCTTATTTATATATTAGCCAAGTTAAAGGGAACTCTACCCAAAGCTTAAATAAATGTATTGATTTTTTTTATGTTCAATGTATATTTTCAGCCTTCGGGCTGCTGAACTTTTTAATAAACCGTTAATTATTATTATTATTATTATTATTATTATTATTATTATTATTGCACACACACACACACACACGCACATAGACCCATTACAGTGCACTCTCCGTGCTTGTCTCTGAGGAGGGTGGTATTAAATTATGCTGTGATATTAAATAAGTAAAGCAACTATGTTTTTTCCAAAAAATTCGTTGCTGCCTCTTTACTTTTATCTACTTCGCCTCTGATCAGCTCGTTAGCCACTTGAGCTTCTAAAGTATTTACGTAGTTTAGCTGCCAAAACCCTAAAGACTTTTTCAATAGCTCACAGTTTCTATGCTAGACAATCACTTTTCAGAACTAAGAATGTCATCTTGCTGATGTGTCAGTAAAAGAACTATAGGGGTAATTTTTATTTTATTTCTATTAAGGCACCAAGAGCTATATTTTTTTACAAGATCTGAGTAATAGTAACAAACAACACATATTTGTCCAATGTTCATATTTCACACACACACACACACACACACATACACACATATATATATATATATATATATATATATATATATATATATATATATATATATATATATATATATATATATATACATACATACATACATACATACATATATATATATATATATATATATATATATATATATATATATATATATATATATATATATATATATGTGTGTATATGCAAGTAAATCACTGTAGGTGCTCGTGATCTAGGTATATACTGATAACCACAAGGAAAGAAGAAAACACGAAGTTCCCAAGCGCTTTCGTGTAATTCACATCTTCAGGGGTGAGTACAGAATATGGAGAGAAATACAAATCAAGGTGTATATATACAGAGGAGGGTGAGACCAGGTCCACAATGGTCAGGTATTAGGTAATGACCCTACTAATCTTTAAATAGCACACAACGGTTGGTGGTCAGGTCAGATGGTAAGGTGACCCGGCCTTCTCACCTGGTCACAAATCTTCTTAATTACAAAATTGTCCAGCTTGTACATGCCGTTACTCAAATTTATGTTGAATGCTTCGGACAGGCCAGGAATCCAATGCTCTGTTTGTTCATTTGAGGGATAACAAGCATTGCATTGACTGGGATAATGCCTCCTCAATATTACCATGTAATTCAATTGATAGTAGGAACATCATAGAATCTAGTCTTATTAAACATACCGAAGCAGTCAACATGAATTTGAGTAACGGCATGTACAAGCTGGACAATTTTGTAATTAAGAAGATTTGTGACCAGGTGAGAAGGCCGGGTCACCTGACCATCTGACCTGACCATCAACCGTTGTGTGCTATTTAAAGATTAGTAGGGTCATTACCTAATACCTGACCATTGTGGACCTGGTCTCACCCTCCTCTGTATATATACACCTTGATTTGTATTTCTCTCTCTAGTCTGTACTCACCCCTGAAGATGTGAATTACACGAAAGCGCTTGGGAACTTCGTGTTTTCTTCTTTCCTTGTGGTTATCAGCATATATATATATATATATATATATATATATATATATATATATATATATATATATATATATATATATATATATATATATATATATATATATATATATATATATGTGAGAGAGAGAGGAACGAGATAACATATTAAAAATTATATTAAATAAGATAGATTAACAAAAACAATAAATTAAATAGATAATAAATATTGAATAATTAATAATTGCACTGTAGAGACTTCTGATGCAACAGAGGCGTCAGCAGCAGATAATAAGCAAACAATGAAAGCCAAACAGGGTATCAAAATATGGAAAACAAATTAAGAAAATGATAAACAGTCAATCAGTGATACAAGTATCCTTACAAGTAGCCTGAGGCCGTCGTATACATGTGTAACATACATGTGTGTTGCCTTTATTGTGTTCTAAGTATTAAATGCAGGCAAGATCTTAGTACATTCATGTTGATTCAGTGTAACAACTCAGAGTTCACAGATATGAACTTATTACTGTAGTTATTTAATTCCTTCAGCCACGAAAAAGAGATTTTGTAACTGTCCAGCAAACTTATGTACGTTTATTTTCTCCAAAAAAATCATATCTAACTGAAAGCCTTTAATGCCTAAAATATAAGATTTTATTTACACTGAACGGTGAAACATTTAATAACTGTAGCTCCATAAATAATATAATTCTTCTTCGGGAATCTTCCTCCTTGGCACGAAGACTTGAATACCGGCTCCTCCAACTGGTGTTAAGTGGCTGGTGTGAGATGGATAGTGTCAAGTGGCTGGTGTGAGGTTGATAGTGCCAAGTGGCTGGTGTGAGATGGATAGTGTCAAGTGGCTGGTGTGAGGTTGATAGTGCCAAGTGGCTGGTGTGAGATGGATAGTGTCAAGTGGCTGGTGTGAGATGAATAGTGTCAAGTGGCTGGTGTGAGGGTGATAGTGCCAAGTGGCTGGTGTGAGATGGATAGTTTCAAGTGGCTGGTGTGAGATGGCTAGTGTCAAGGGGCTGGTGTGAGGTTGATAGTGCCAAGTGGCTGGTGTGAGATGGATAGTTTCAAGTGGCTGATGTAAGATGGATAGTGTCAAGTGGCTGGTGTGAGATGGATAGTGTTCAGTGGAGAATGGCAGTGGGCTGTTGAGAAGTTGCGATTGTCACTGGCGGGCTACAAGTGGAGAGTGTCAAATGACTGGTGTCAAGATGCCCCGCTAACACAGCTCATCGTCTGAAAGAAAATACAAAAATCAGATAGACATTAAACGTTTACTCTAAAAGCAAATAAAACTTTAGTCTATTTATACTTGAGGCCATTAAATAATATTCTTTTATTCTTTAGGTCGGTTGGTAAAGCCCTGGATTACCAACCCAAGAGACTTAACCTTGTGTGTTGTAACGGAAGATGTACAAGACATTATTAATCTGATTTTTTTTATGTTATCTGAAGACTGTTAAGATCATCTGACTATTAGTCATCCCATTTTTTTAATCATATGATGAACCGCTCCAACGCATCCATGGGAGAATTAGATTAGGGAATGGTAACTAAGGCTTGCATTAAGCTGGTCAATGTTCAGCTAGAAATAAGCTGAAATGTCTAATCTTCAGATAATGTGACTTTTAATAACTCTAAGCACTGACCTCTAGGTTTGGCCACACACTGGTCCAACTCGTAGCTGTACAGTAGATCGTCGACACAGTTCCTCAGTTCAGACGACCACGGCCTGCCAATATTCTTGTTGCACTGGTAGAAGTTACGACACAGCTCTACCACACGGATATTCTGGCAGTGGGGAGGTGAAGGGCTGAATTAGGAAATTTATAGACTGTGGTTGAATAGAGTTAAAATTATGGTTGATGCAATTAAATGTTATTCATTATAATAGAAAGTGTGAACGAATTCAACTAATGAGTTGATTCAATTTAAGTAGTTTCATTGAGTTAAAATAAAAAGTTGAATCACGATTATAAACAATTGCTACTAGAACTGACATTTGATATCCTATATTAGAGTGTGTGATTGTATAGATTTAAATGGTGAAGTAGTAGAAAGTATAGTGTAACTTGATGGAATTGAGAGTTACTTCAGTGGAACTAAAAAGTGGTTGAGTATTAACCTCTCTCTCTCTCTCTCTCTCACCTGAAGATCGCTGGTTGATCTCTCGCATAAAACGAATTTATCACAGTAGGTGGAGGCTATCCAGGCCTCGTACGGTCGTGTGTCCTGATCTGAGCACCTCAGAGTATTAGGGGTGTTGATATTCACCACCGGAGAGGGAGCGATGGTGGTAGCCGGGCACAGCTCCGAGACTGAGAGATGGAAGACGCAGAGTAAAATAAGATAAACAATAAATTCCACAATAAACTTCAGTAAATAAAATATACATTAAATTTACACACTCTCTCTCTTATTAATTTCACTCCGTACCTTTTTTATTTCATTCTAGTCTGGTCGTTATGTTAAATTTAAATAAAGTATATGGAAGTGATTTTACTAAGATTTATCATTATTATTATTATTATTATTATTATTATTATTATTGTTATTATTATTATCATTATTATTATTATTATTATTATTATTATTATTATTATTATTATTATTTTTATTTTTATTATTATTAGTAGTAGTAGTATTATTAGCGTCCCTTGAAGTGACACTTAATTTAACGTTAGTAATTTGGACAAACCTCTCTAATAATATGGAGGTAAAACTAATCTAGACTTTAGAAATAATGTGAACATTAATATGGTCATAATCAGGACATAAAACTATCTCGAATTTACAATTATCTGAACGTTACAATAATATGGAAGTAGCAATATTCTACACCTAATAATCTGCTCGTACCAATAATCTGGAAATCGTACCTGTGGGTGGATTGACGCACCGCTTCAATTCCTTGTCATAGAGTTGTCCCTTTGAGTCACATAGATCATCAGCACCAATGAAGATGGAGTAGATGTAACATCCAGTACACAGGGTCTTGGTCGACCTCACTGGCTGACACAACTCGTAATTTTGACAACTGTCCGATGAAAATTCACAGGGAACAACGGGTGGTGTAACAGCCGGTGTTGGTGTAGGTATGGGTGTAGGTGTAGGAGTAGGTGTAGGTGTAGGTGTAGCTGATACAGTTACAGGCATCGATGTTGTAGGTGGGAAAACGATTTGATTTGTTCCGTTGGTGCCACAGGGAGGTGAGGTGAGGTAGGGGAACACACACTGGTCCAGCCCGTCGTCGAAGACAGTACCAGGTTCACACTCGAAGTAGAATGTGCTGTAGAAACCAACCTTCATACGGTCGACGCAACTGTGACGGGCAAAGGAGGAGAGGGGGATATATGAGAGGTTAGTGAGATCTTTATTATTGTCCGAACGGAGAGGAAGGCTTAACAAGCAGGGAGGTAGAACTGACGAAACAATTAGACTGGATGAGAGACTCGCAAAGAGAGAGTTAAAGGGAGATATAGAGAGCTGTATTACATACAAGGTAGTGTGACAGACTTGCCTTGGCTAAGAGATAAAGGGGGAGATAGAGGGCTATAGTACAAGGCAATGTGAAAGACGAGAGACCAGCTTAGGCCAAAGAAGAGAAAAGGGAAAGAAAGAAAGCTGTAGCACAAAGCAATGTGACAGTCGAGACACTAGCTCGGACTAGTAGGAGAGCGGATAATGAAAAAAGTCGTTCAAATGGTGATACAAACATGAAATTTTGCATGATCAGACCCTAGGGGCTACTTGTCAAATCTGTTTGATTGGCCATTTGGAAATCCAAGATGGCGGCTATTTTTCAAGATAGCTGCCAAATTGACCTTCGATTTTTTTTTTTAGAAATTGATGTAGTTGGTCAATCTAAGTGATCTTAGTGTCGATGTGTATGTTTTCAAGCATGCTCAGATGATTTTTTTCTATTTCTGATACTCTCAGATATATATTTGTCTTATTTATGACTGGTTTTATATACTGGTTTTATGTTTTTTCCAACTAGGTGAGGGTAGCATGCAGAGGGTCTCTGCATGTGAGGGAGTGATTGTCGGGCACTGCCAGGGCACACTGGTGACATCACTGCTGTGCAACCCAGCATGGGGTTCAGTGTCAGCTAAGAAAAAGCATGTCATACTGCAACAGCTTAGTGTCCCAAATGCTCCTTAACCAACCCCAAATCAGTTAAGCAGCCGCACCTGAATTGACAGGATGTGCCAGCGCGGGAGAGCTGAGCCAAGATTAACGGGGTTTTAGTTATCTGGATGGTGTACAGATCGCATGGGACTAATGACACTGGATGGACGATCGGACTAGATGTAGGGCAAAAGGCATGAACCTAGTTGTATCCCATACAAGAAAGTGCTCATCAGGGTGGTAAAAGGATAAATCCTCGGCCCTGAAGATCAAAAATAGTTTTGGACACAAAATCTACCAACAAATCATTCCTCACTGACTGGGCAAAGTGTTGTCTTTGTCAACAGGATAAAAAGGAAGATCTTTGGTTCGTGATACAGTGGCTTTTCTGAACCCAGGTCAGATCCCAGTCACAGCTGCTGACCAGCTACTGTATGCCCTGGCAAAACAAATCCAGTAGCATTGGCCTGAGTACGGAGAAGACAGGTATGTTATTATGTTCGGAGGACTTCATATAGTGATGGCTGCACTGAGATCACTAGGAACGCTACTACAAGACAGTGGTTGGACTGGTTCCCTTGTTGAAGCAAGAGTGGCTTCATCTGGTACAGCAGAGTCTTTTCTGTCTGTATCAAGTGTAACTAAGACAACACTAGCACATCAAGTCACAGCATGCAGCTTGTACAAACTGATGAAGGAGGCAAACCAGGACTATTGCTCTGATGAGTCTGAAAGGTCAACTTTGAGCTTTGAAGACTGGTGTAAACAACGGAGGCCTGAGAGTTCACAGTTCCAATTCTGGAACCTTGTGCTGGACATGGAGCTCACCATCTTCATGTTGATCCGCTCATTCAGGGAAGGCAATTTCAAACTCTACCTTGAAGCACTCTCAGAGCTGATCCCCTACTTCTTTGCGAACAACATTGTTAATTATACCCGATGGCTTCCAATTCACCTTCGAGACATGATGTGCCTTGAGCAACAACTTCCAGAGGTAAAGAGGGAGTTCTACAAGGGGAACTTTGTTGTCCACAAGTCAGGAAGAGAGTTCTCTACCATTGCTATTGATCAAGCCCATGAACAAAACAATGTAGTGATTAAAGGCGATGGAGGAGCAATTGGGTTGACTGAGGACCCAGCAGCACTTCGTAGGTGGCTGGTCCTGAAGTAAGTCGTCTTGTTGCTGGATATGAAGCTGCGTCAGGTGCAAAAGATGGAACCACCACCAGCAGCCGACATCATGAGCAGACCCTGAGTGCACAGAAATATTTCTTTGAGAAGGTGGAAGCACATTCCAAGGTGCTACGGGAGATGGGCAATCCTTTCCAAGAAGAGTCATCTGACCTTCTGGTGTTAGACACAAAAACATTGTAGATCCAGATATTGCTAAAATGGTTGGTACACACCATGACAGAGGAAAAGAGCAATTCCAGTCATTCTTAGAGGGACTAAAGAATGAAGGTAAATGTCTGTTCTACCATCCAATCAAGAAAAACAGATCCTCCTTCTTCAAACATGACCACGTTGTTAGCAGTTCCAAAGATAAGGTACTGAAAGATGACTGTCAGCTGTTCTCGCGACTCTTCAACTCCAGTCAGAACAGACAGTATGACTTGCAAGAATTCTTCAAGCATGAGAACCAGTCAGCTCCTGCCTCCCTCAGTGACAATGGCAGGGTTCATACATGTCAGAAGTCACAGCTGGCTGAAATTTTTCAAGCACAAGTGAATGCTACAGAGAGAGAACCACATGGAGATGCTATCATCATAGATGGCTCAGCACTGATAAATGCCCTGCCTCCACGCACCTCAAAGACTTTTGATGCCTATGCCAGAGAAGACATCCTGCCTAAAGTGGAATTCTATGGTGAGAATACAATAGGGTGGATGTAGTGTTTGATGTGTACAAAAATTCAAGTCTGATGTCTGAAGCCAGGTTGAAACGAGGACAGGGGTTCAGGAGAAGAGTTACAGGAACCAGTAAGACTCCCAAAAACTGGAGAAGCTTTCTGCGAGATGACAAAAACAAGACAAAACTATTTCATTTTCTCGCAGAGAAAATGTGTGAAGCATAGACGACAAGCACGGTGGTTGTGACAAAGGGAGAAGATGCCATTAGCAACACAGAGAAGTCCCTAGAAGCTGTGGCTCCATGCTGTCATGAGGAAGCAGACACACGAATATTTGTGCATGCTAAGGATGCAGCAATGGAAGGTAGCAAGTCCCTCATCATCAAAGTCAATGACACTGACGTGGTCGTCATAGCAGTAGCTGTACTGCCATCACTACAGGAGCTTGGTCTTGATAACATGTGGATTGCCTTTGGCCAAGGAGCCAGTCATCGATGGATTCCAATACATGATGTAGTTTCTGCGATAGGGCCTAAGAAAGCGAGTGGGATCCTATACTTTCATGCTTTCACTGGCTGTGACGTTGTGTCTGCCTTCCGTGGGAAAGGAAAGAAATCTGCATGGCAGACATGGAATGTCTGTGATGAAGTTTCAGAAAAATTCACCAAACTCAGCCAATGTCCAACAACAGTTGCTGATGTTGACCTGCAGAAGCTGGAAAGATTTGTTGTCCTCATGTACGACAGATGTAGTGCAGCCAGTGGTGTAGATGAGGCAAGACTAATTCTCTTTTCCCGCAAGCAGAGACCATATGACTCCATTCCACCAACCCAGGCAGCCCTCAAGGAACATGCAAAGTGGGCTGCCTACCAGGCTGGTATCATCTGGGGCCAGGCAACAATCTCCAATCCAGAAACCAGCAGTCCTGTCAACTGGGGTTTACGCAGAAGGGAGAGGCATGGCAGATACGTTGAACGACTTTTCCCGCGATTGCGACGTGCTGTCAGGAGCTGACCAAATGTTCCTGTAAGAAAAACTGCAACCAGAGATGCAAATGCTTTCGCTCTGGACTTTCCTGCACAGTACTTTGCAGCTGCATATGTGAACAGCAGTAAATGCACAAATATGTACTGCCAGGAGAAGTCACAGGGACCAGTGCTAATAGTGAGTACTTTTTGTTAGTAAGTTCTTTTTTTTTTTATTTGTTTCTAAAAGTGTTATTTTATGTGGATAAAAATGCTTCAATGGACTTAAAACTATAAAAAATCATCTGAGCATGCTTGAAAACATACATATCGACACCAAGATCACTCAGATTGACCAACTACACTAATTTCTATAAGAAAAATCGACTTTTGAAGGTCAATATGGCGGCCATCTTTAAAAATAGCCGCCATCTTGGATTTTCAAATGGCCAATCAGGCAGACTTAACTAGTAACCATTAGAGAATAACCATGCCAAATTTGGTGATTGTATCACCATTTGCATGATTCTCTTGAAAAATTGCATTTAGCTGCCCCACTATATGGAGAAATAAAGGGTGAGATAGAGAGCTGTAGTACAAAGTGGAGAGACATCTAGATTGACATGTAAAAGAAGAGAGAAAGAAAAAGAAAGACAGATATTCAACTGTATTGGGCAATATGGACAGATAAACATGCAGTAAGACAGAGTGAGGGAGACTCGGATGTTGTACAAAAAGAAAAAGTGGCTTAGTTACAGTACAATACAGAGAGACTAAAGTGCAGTAACAGAGAGAGAGAAAGAGACTCACCTGAAGTACCAGCTACAGTTCCTGGGATGAGGGAACACTCCCTCCTTCGTACACTCCACACGGGGGTTCACGATGTAGTCAGGATAGCGGCTGTCTGTTGGCGAGATGGCAGGGTGGAAAAGGTTGTGAAATACTTGCAAAGAAGATTAAAATTTTTCATTGGGACATCAACTCTTAAAGAACAATGATTTTGTATTTATTTAAATACGAAAATGAGACTATCGGCGGTATTCACAGGCACTACAACTCCCCCGACCGATCGGGAGCATCTTCGTGTGTCATTATTCAGAAACGCTTACTGGCTCGAAGACAGTCCCGGTGGAATCGTTGGAACAATTCAAACGGCAGACCAGATGAATATACAGTATAAAATTTGTCACCCTACAGATTTTTATATATTGATGTATAATATATATATGAAAACTATTAAGGAATTAGTTTGTTGGTGATGGAAATTTTTTTTTCATATATATTCAAAGATTGTCAGTTAAATACAAGTGTTAACTAATCTGCGATGATCATGAACGTGCAGCTGTGTATCAATAAACACTGCAACACCAATACTCGACTCTCGACGACTGCAGACAGTGTTGTAGAGAAGAAACCGCTGCCTGTATAATTAGAAGTAATGCCAGGGTTATGTATTTATCTGAAGAAGCCTTAAATCTGTCTTCATTTACTTTGCTCGTAGCAAACTGGTAAATATATGGAAAAAAATGGTTCACGACAAGAAAGGAAGTTGCTACTTATCCGGAATTTAAGTAGTCCTGGCCCATGTTGGCTGTTCTCACATTTCACAGTTACAAACCTAACATGACTATTGACGAAAACGTAAAAAAAAAACATTTATACTTTAAAAGATGTTTTCTGGTTGATGAGCCACATTGAGTAAGTTTTCAATATAAGAAAAACTTCTCCATTTTCTCAAGAAAATTCCAAATATGGTGGAGGAATCACTCTTTACTAATCCTAACCTAACCAAAAAAAAAAAGAAAACCAAAAGAACCTAAGGATCCAAACCTAATTACTCTCATATATTGGGATACATGAATTGTCTAACCTAACTAACATCCCGGGAATTGTACAGTATGTAGCCTCCAGTCTTCCCAGCCGGGAATTCCCGGCTAAGTAGCCAGTTCCTTTTACAAGAAAAGTCTGCACCCTACACACGTTCCTTATTTATGTTACCGGGGCTAGTTTCTTATAGGAAGAAGGAATTAATAGCTGTACTTTAAACAGCTAGCAACAAAGTTTTACAAAGTGATTTTTGGGGTTCCCATTGATATTTTCCTGGTATCGTGATATTCTAAGGAGGAATGTGGTAAGCAAATTTTGACAAATTATCTTTCTTTCTGTCACAAATTCACAGTGCCTTAATAATTTGGGTACAAATTTCCATCAGGCTCACAACGTTATTGTTGATTTTATCAAATAATGTTAAAGAAGAAAAAGTGATTTAGAATGCATAAACATATATGTACTCGGTGTCAAAAGTTAAGAATTTGTAACATGTTTTGGGGGTCGCACACCCCAAAGACGCGTCATAAATAAATAAATAAATAAATAAATAATTATATATATATATATATATATATATATATATATATATATATATATATATATATATATGTGTATGTTGTTCATTTACACAAAACGTACGTTATGGTGTGTAGGTGTAGTTGTAAGTTACTTTAGGTTAGATTTGGTTTATTTTATTTGGTGTTATACTCCCAAATATGAAGGTTCGAAATTTGGACTTTGGTGAACGGAATTATATACTTCTTCACATTCTAAATCACATTTCGTCTATAACACCCTTCCGTCAAATCGGTTTTAAGAATGCGACCGTACAGGTCAATAGTACCAAGAATATCTAGTACTGGACAGTCACTGACAAAAGTCCTGTTTCCTCCCCTCCTGAACCACGAACCCCGAGATTCAAACTCGTGAATCAGGAGCAGTAGACATTAATGCATTATTCTGACCATAAATGCTTCGGATTCACGAGTCTGAATCTCGGAGTTCGTGGTTCAGGAGGAGAGGTGACAGTACTTTTGTGGGTGACTGTCCACTCGCCACAAAAAGTTATCGAATAGCTGGGCACGACATAATTTCAGAATGACCACTACGACTCGTGTTATCTCAGAATGGTTGGTATGCCTGATTGCAAAGTGAGTCACTATTTCGTAATAATAAATGTTGCTCGTCTTTATAGTATTTACAGTAGAAAAGAAGTAATTTAATATGCAATAAAACTTCCTCAGAGAACACTGTCCAGATATCTTGTTTGTTTTGTCTCATCGTATGACCCTTAGACAGGGGTTCTCAAACTTTTTCTCACCATGTATCCCGAGTTATGAAACCATCGACCCGTACCCCCATAACTGAGACACTGAATATTGAATGGTACTACATTAATACGAATTCAATATAGAATGGTAGTGCTAAAACATATTTGGTGCTTGGAGTGAAGCTACTTTCTATATTGTAAACATAACTTTAAATTTATATCACCTTATGAATTAAGTCTGGTGAAATTAGTGTATTTCAAATTGATTTTCGCCAGCCCTCAAATTATCCCCTGGAAGCCCTCCTGCGTACCCCTGGGGGTTCGCGAACCCCAGTTTGAAACCCCTTTCCTTAGAGCGTTCGAAAACTTTTTTGTGGCGTGTGTACTGTACATGTAGCCAGGATTTAAGATTCTGGGAGGAATTATTGAAACGGATGATTAGTGTCCAAGTAGAATTCATTTAGTAAGAACCAAGCAACAACAATGACGAGATCAACCCAGTCTGCCTCATCACAAAGGAATGTGGCCATATTAAATAAAATTATGAATTATTTTTCAGTGGCTCTGCAGCTGGTAACCAATCTGGGGCACAATATTCATGGATAGGTAACCTAAATGAAGTAAAACATAATGTAATAATATCAATATTAAGGACGAACAGGTCCCGTTTGTTTACTTGTGACGGCTGATATGAGATATACTAACCACCGGCCAGCCTACCCATTCGCACAGTTTGGTAGCCCTACCCAATGGATCGGGACCCCAACGCATCGTAGTGCCCGAAGCAAGTTCTTGATTAGCATCTGCCAGCACGAGCTATGGGTTCCCCATGGTCGGGATCACCTTATGGCATGTCGACTCTCCGTAACTGGCAAGATTATCGCCTGAGTCCTACTAAACAGACTTCTTCCTGAGGCGGAAAACTTCCTCCCAGAATCTCAATGTGGCTTTAGACCATCACGTGGCACCACTGACATGATCTTTACTGCCCGCCAGATACAGAAAAAGTGCAGCGTCGTGACCTGTACATGGCCTTCATCGACCTAACCAAGGCCTTCGACCCAGTAAACAGTGAAGCCCTCTGGAGGACCCTCAGCCGTTTTGGCTGCCCACCAAAATTCATTGCCATCGTGAGGCAACTCCATGATAGCATGAACTGCAGTGTCCTGCACGATGGCACCTGTCTGAGCTCATCCCCACCCAAACGGGGGTAGAACAAGGATATGTACTGGCACCAACTCTCCTTTCTATTTTCTTGGCTGCCTTCCTTACTCGTGCAATGCCAATTTAGCCGGCGGAGTGGAGGATCTTTTCAACTTAAGACGACTCCGGGCAGGAACAAAGGTATCGGCAGCTTCCATTACTGAACTTCAGTATGCAGACGACCTCACTCTTGTCGTTCACACTGAACGCGACCTACAGGAGATACTGAACACCTATGCAGATTTGCATGCACACTTCGGCCTTGAGGTGAATATTCGTAAGACTCAGATTCTCTTTCGGATTGCCCCTGGTTTAGCCACACCTCCACCATCAATCCAGCTCAACGGTACTACCCTCTCTAATGTTACCCACTTTCAGTATCTCGGCTTCCACCTGTCCACAACCGCGGACATCGATGAAGAGATTCAACATCGGATCAGATGTGCATCTCAAGCCTTTGACAGACTCTATATCCGTGTCTTAAGCTGTAGGGAGCTGAAATTATATATAAAGTTGCACGTATATCGAGCAGTGGTCCTCCCCACCCTGCTTTATGGCAGTGAGACATGGGTCACATACAGGAGGCACCTCAAGGCACTTGTAAACTTTCACCAACGTAGTCTACGTTCCATCCTCCGAGTTCCCGGGGATGACAAAAAACAAATGCCAGTATCCTCACTGACACCAACTGTAGGAGCATCGAGGCTACCATTATCCATGAACAACCACGTTGGACTGGCCATGTTATCCGCATGGACGACAGTAGACTGACCAAGGCAGCTACTTTGCAGTCACTTAACGAATAGTAAATGTAACGCTGGCGGGCAACTGAAAAGGTATAGGATAGTCTTAAGACAAACCTAAGAAAGTGCCAAATCGACCCCCTCACCTGGGAGACGATTACTCCACACCGTAACGCTTGGAGGAGCACCACACAAGAAGGTGTCAATACTTTCGAATTAACCCGGCTCCAAACCCAGGCAAACAAACGCCTACTCCGGAAAGATGCTGACGCCGCCCCTCCCTCACCAGATGTAGCCATCCACATGTGCAACATCTGTGAACGACTCTGCCGGTCCCGTATCAGCCTCTTTAGCTACCTTAAAACTCACCAAGGAAGGTGGCAGCCTTAATAACTCATGTCATTGTCTCTTAGCTGGATGATCATCATACTCGATTCCGAATGACAGCAAAGTAGTAGTAGTATGAGTTATATAAACAATCCTAAACACCCACAGACCTTCAAGTGTTAATATATGACTTACCATTTGGACCAGGCACAGCGGCCATAACGACGGTTGTCATGGCGACCACCACTACCAACAACAACATGGCTGAGCTCTTCATTTCCCACCGCATCATCTGTAAACAACAGTTCAATTCATTTTATATATTTTGGAAATGGGAATAGAGATAAAGGTACAGGGACAGCTATAAAAACATGTGCATATATATATATATATATATATATATATATATATATATATATATATATATATATATATATATATATATATATATATATATATATATATGCTTAAGAACAGGTACAGTACAGGTAAAATTATAAGTATAGGTGCAGATAGAGATTTAAGTAGAGTTTTAGGTATAGTAAAAGAACAGGTGCAAATATAGCCATGAATACTGGAAGAGGTACAAGTACAGATACAGCTTTAAGAACAGTTCATGTGGTATAAGCCCAGGTACATGTATTTTACAAGTAACAGTAACAAGTGATTTATAACGGTTAATACAATTTTAAGTACAGCTATAAACTCAGGTACAAGTACAAGTATGAATACAGAAACTGTACATTTTTAAGTACAGTTATTGTTATGAAGCCTTATGATTACTACTTCACATCACCTTGTACAGGGAGGGACCAACATACTCATCAGATTACGACTTAACAACACTCGTAAGTCTTCAACCCTCCAAGCTGGAAAGACAACTTTTGCGTTACTTTTCTGTCCCTCACTTCGTGTTCACTGTAGGTTTGGCTGCAATTAATTTTTCTCAAGTGCAAGTAAGTACAAGAAGTTCCGGAATTTTAGGAACAAAGTACAAGTATTTGGTGTAGAAAATTTGCCAATACAAATACAGATACAAGTACTGTACTGTCGTGAAAGAAAATTAAACTTAACTTTATTTGTTTATAATTTCATTGTTACTCACCAAAAATAAAAGTAATGGCATCACAAAGCCCATGTAAACACCACAAGCCACACCAATAATACAAATAAGTAATGAGTTCTATAAGCATGGCCTCACTGACACTGTAAATGTCTAGCCAGAAAAAGTTGGTTCAGAATATGAAAGTGAATCAACACGGTGCTTCATTTCATAAAATATAAGCTACCTTATAAAACCAAACTCCATAAAACCTCACTTTAATTAGCCTTTACTGTATAATTAGGGAAAAGCTATAGATAAATAAAACATTACAGAATCGCATAGAATAAAAGAAAGATAAAATAAGCTATATTGCTGCAGTTTTCATCAGTAGTAACTGCCTGACTGGCTGAGCCGCTGAGTACGACGTGATGGGACACTGTATCGTACTTAAATACAAAGAAATTAATTTTACTCGCATTTTACGGATTACAGGCAGGAAAAACTTAGCCATATTTTTTCCAATATGCGATTCCATATATTTTGACGAAAAATCAAATAAAATTAGCGTTATTAAATTTTCAGCTCCTGATAGTCATAGATATTTAATTTTCTTGAAACTTTCCTTGAGAGAACCAAATTTCCTCAAATCAAGGAAATTTCCTAGAAAGTGAAAACATTGGTCTTAGTAACGTTGAGCTACAAGGTTGCTAACTCAGATATTGCACTCATTACGAAATTCGCTGATATATTCATTACCAATTCTAGCGTATCAAATGCTTGGAGTACACGTAAATATTTGAAAGTACTTGAATGTTTACTGGTACATTTCATCAAGTACAAGTACAGACTGTTTTGACAAACTAAGTACTGTACAGTAGTACAAGTACAGCACAAGTACCTAAATATTTGTACTTGCGTACCAAGTACCATCTGCAAATGTTTATCGGTTATCTGTGTCTGGGATCAGGTGAGATCATCGTGCCTAAAAGGAAGCTGTGCTTCTGTGGGGGACATCAAGATTAATGGTACCGAGGTTCATGGGCAGCTGACTTAAGGATATATTATAACTAAGGTCACCTAGGTGCTTCATGACGTAAAAAAAATTGTGTTCCTCACAAAGGTGCGGGAGCTAGTTTATTCGTCATCACCTTGGATCCTGTGCAAGGTGAAACGCAAAGCGCTCCACCCACCAGACAGGGAGACAAACGGAGTTCGTCATTGCTTTCTTAAACTTATGTGTTGTTGAATGGGCGATTGTGCCTGAGGGGTCATCGGTTATATTAGCAAGTTACATTTAGTTAAGGAAGGATAAGTATAAATAGGGAGGTTCATCTATTTTTTTAGCAAACGTGATTGGTCAATAGTAAAGTTAAGTGCCGAGCCTGTCTGTAAGGAAAAGGACATTTGGTCATGATGGTGACAGCTGGCGACCTGTCGGAGGAAGTTTTGGGACATGACAGGATGTAGTGAGGGAGGGCTTACATGTAGTGCGGTCAGGTTCAGGTGCGTTCATATACGGTACGACCAGTAGCACCTTTATCCGAGGATTGGCATCATCAGCAACTGCACAGTGTGTGTTGCTTTCCTAAAGTTTAATATTCGCCCAGTGTTCGTGGAAGGCCTTACGCTACGAGTTGTATACAATAGTTAAGATGGTTGAGGGAGAGGACGAGGATAAGCTATCTGTCTTTTTCTCGTGATTTAATGTTCGGTCACAGGAACTAAGTAGGGTGGCGTCGTCACATTACAATGGTGCACAAGAAATATATCTGAAACATCAGGAACAATTAATGGTGCAGAGGAACGGGGCGGAGTGGGAGGCAACCTGGGGCATTGCAGCCTAATGGTATACAGGAGTTAAGGTTCGTCGTGTTTCACTGGTGCAACAGAAACTGGTGCCAACACAAAGACTACTAATATGGTGTGAAGGAACCAGGTGGCGAGCTAGAGGCGTCATGACATTCGATGATACAAAAAATCCTGAGTTGCTTTTGGGCATCTCAGGTACGTGAACCACAAGACCTTAGGTGGGTTACTTGACCTGAGGAAGAGGGTAAAGAAAGGCAAGAAGAGATAAGTGAAAGAGAAAGCCAAGAGAGGCTTAGGCAACGTCAAGTCAGGTTAAAGGGTCAAATGGAGGTTAGAGAAAGTAAATTAGATCAAAAGAAAGTTACAGAGATCGAGGAAAGCAAACCATGGCCAGAGAAAGTTAAGGGAAATCCTGTTACTCAAATGAAAGTCAAGGTAGGACGGAGAAATCAATAGGTCATAGAAAGCTATGCGAAATCCTGGTGAGAGATATAAAGAGAAAGTCGTCAAAACCTACTACTGAAAATCTTATTAAACAGGAGAAAGACGCGAGGGTCATAAAAGTACATGCAAGGTTCGAGGAAATTAAGACAATGCATAGGAAGTCAGATGAGATCAGAATTGACATGAGAGGATAATCAAAGGTCAAGAATTGCCAAAAAAAACAGGTCAAATGAGGTAATGTCAGCTTCGGGGAGGTGAGGAGGGTGCATTGGTGGTTGTGTCACTCACCTCGTTCCCCCTAACCCTCACTTGTCACTGCTCCTACCCAATCCCCTTCGCTTGTTGTTGTTCTTCTTCTTCTTCACGGTCCTGTGTAAGTTTATCCTCTCGCCCACTTAATTATCCCACCCCAGCCCTCTTCCAGCCCCTCTTCACTCCCAGTTCAACCTCGTAGTACCCCCTCTCATCCGCGTCATCTCTTGATCACAACCTGTCCCTCTCGCTTTTCTTACCACTTCCCGCCTTCATCAGCATCTCCTTAACTTCCCTTTCCTATCCCATTCCTCCTCCTACAGTCAGTGCCGGATTTAGACCTGTGGAGGCCCATGGGCAGCCTCTTTGTGGAGGCCCCCCCCTCATTATAACTACCCAAGAGGGTGGGGTGGCCAGTGAAACGAGCCTAAACATCTGGGAGTTCCGGGGGGCGCTGTAAGCCCCCAGGGAAAATTTTGAAATTTGAACACTTCTTTGGAGAATTTTTAAGCCATATGCAGTTATATTGAGGAAATTAGAACATTGAGAAATTTTTAATTAACTGTAAATTTATTGATAGTGTACAAATTCCCAACACACACACAAAAGTGAGACATGACTGGAGTCATTCATGTGGTTTCAAGTCGACCAGCCCTGATATAGCTACTACCGCACATGTGGAGGCCCCCAGATTGTGGGGGCCCCTGGGCAGCTGCCCACTTTGCCCACTCCTGAATCCGGCCGTGCCTGCAGTACAATGTCTCAACCGCCTCCTCCCCCGCCCCCAACACTATCCTGAGGGCGAGGAGGTGAGAAAAAGACCAGAGGTTCTCCCGCAGGATAAGACCAACAAAAACCAGCCAGGGGGGTGACTTTGAAACGCCCTTGCTGTTGGGTATTACCAGGGCCTCTCTGGTGGTATAATCCTATTGATGCCCTAATAAATTTCAACAATTATAGCACAGCGTTATTCAAATGTTCGGAATCATAGCAGAACTTTTTAATCACCCTGTACATTGCGGACTATGGCCAGATATCCTAGTAGGGACACCTTGAACTAAAGAGAGAAGAAGTTTGTTGATCATTGGTCGTCACCTTAGCATGTTAACAGTGGGACCACATTCTGCTGGTAGTTGTGGGTGGGGGCAAGTCCATGACACTAATTAAGCTTGAGGTTGAAAAAAGTTGGAAATAAATATTTAGAGATATGATTTACGTGCCTCGGGGACATAATAACAATAATAATAATAATAATAATAATAATAATAATAATAATAATAATAATAATAATAATAATAATAATGATGATGATGATCATGATAATAATAATAATAATAATAATAAAATAATAATAATAATAATAATAATAATAATAATAATAATAATATTATTATTATTATTATTATTATTATTATTATTATTATTATTATTATTATTATTATTATTATAATTTGTAGTAGTAGTAGTAGTAGTATATTTTTTATTATTATTATCATATCACGTCATTGTTATTATAACCATCATCAGTATTATCCCAAACACAGGTCATCCTCTCAAAACGCCACAGTAAGTTGAAACATCAAGCGTCAAACCCTTTCGATCTTCACCACAAACACGTAACACAAGCGACGGACGATGTATAATTGTAGACGCGCATCATTAACATGGAACAATGCATGATTGTTTGGTTGGTATCATTAATGGCGGGCGATGTTTATTGGTAAACTCGATGAGGCTTAGTG